CATCTGAAGTGTATAAACACTTTTAGTATCACTGAAGGATCATTATGATACAAATTCAAGATGTAAGAAACATAAGTGGGAAATTCTAAAATCAATCAGACAAAATATGAATAGAACTGTTGAAATGAAAATTAAATTTTTATAGCCGTAAATCCTAAAAAGAAGGCAATCGATAGACTGGGCAGCATACCTGCAACATCTAGAACAAATCAAAGGGTTAATATACACAGAAAATATAATTTCTCCCAAGCTGATTGTAAAAAAAAAAACTAAAAAGAAAAATAAATTATATATTAAAAATAAATATTTCAAAACCAAGGGAATAAAAATAAAGCCACAAAGAAAAAGCTAAATCTAGGGGAAGGGTTCAATTAGAATGGTGGACAAATATTTGAAAACATATGGCATGCTCTTAATAAGTAGTGGAAAAAAAGTAGGGAAATATATCTTGAACTGTTTTACTATGAAGTGGAATCCTTTATGTATTAATTGGCAATAATAAAAGAGTAAAATTGTGCATTTGGTTGAGGATATAGAGATTAGAGATAGCTTTGAATTGTTAGTGGCAGTCAGTATGCACTTCTTCAACTAAAATATTTGCAGTGTATGCCACACATGAATGTTTTCTCATTTATGACGTAACAATTTCACAGGTGCCTCCGAGGAGGAAGTCAAGAACAAGAACAATGACATCCACAGACAACTTTTCTTGGTATTGTTGTTAATCAATTGAGTAAAATTAATGGACATCCCTACAAATATTGGTGGATAAATAATAGGTAAGACATATTGATTTGATGTCTACATATGCACTGAATATAAATGAACTCATTTTGTATATATACATCAATATGAATCAATCCTAAATAATGATCTTACATAAAATGCTACATACCAAACTACCAGAAAACTACAATATGCACAATAAAAAAAATAAGCAAATATTTGTCCCTTTCTGGGTAATGTGAGGGTAGATTCAGTACTTTTACTAACCTCAACCAGATTTGGTGTAGGATTCAAGTGAATTTTGGCTGACCTTGAATGAGACTTATAGGGTATTTTGGCTGCAATCCATGTGACACTGCTTCCAGAAAGTTAGTTCAAGTATATTTTCATGGCAATGGTAGACAAACTTGATGGGAAGCAGAAAATCACAAAGCTGTTTTCAACCCTCTGTTTATGTCAGCTAACACTCTTTGAACAAATTAAGTAACATAGCCACAAATGAGCTAGTTAATTTTGGGGGCCAACACTAAATTGAAAATGCAAGATCCCTTATTGAAAATGACTAAGACTCTCAATAGAGCAATAACAGAGCATTCAAGTAGGTGGCTATAGATTGCATTTGCAATGTCCTCCAAGGCCCATGGGTTAAATGACAGGTCGCCAGGCTATAAGCACTATTGGAATGTGGTAGAACTTTTAAGAGTTGTGGTTATTGTAGGAGGCTTTGGGTCATTGGGTACATGGGAACTTTGGTCTCCTCCTCATTCTCTCTTATTTGCTTCTCAGCTATCAGGTAAATGGCTTGCTTTACGATGTGCTCCCTGACACGATATGCTACCTTGAGAAAAGATATTTTGGCACATCATGCATTATTTTGGACAATTAAACTGGTACTGACTTTTCAGAAAATAATTGGTCATAATTATATAAAATATTATAATTATATAAAAATATTTCTAGAACTATTAGTGCATTAAAACATGTGAGTAATATACAATGCCTGCCCTTAGAGATTATTGTGAAAATTAAATAAGTATATGGAAATTGTTAATTTAATCTGTTTGGCAAGCAGTATGTGCTTAATAAATGTCAGCCACTTTTGTCATTGTTGCTATTTATTATTGTCATTTTATTGGTACTTCTTGATCTGGCATCCCATTTCTTGATGTCAAAACTATAAAGCAAAAAATGTGTATAAGAATTTATATATAAGGATGCTCACTGTAGGGTTCCAGAGAGACACTCCCTAAAAATAATATTATCCATGATTCTACATAATGTGGAATGTTATCTATTAAAGAATGTCATGCTGAGAATAACAAGATATACATTGCACATTATTAATAAAATCTACCAGTTTCAAATTAATGTAGATGTTTGTAGAAAAACAAACTTTTCTGTCCATTTCTATGTGTTGTTTAAAAGATAGAATTTAGAATAGGAAATTATTGAAGGTTATGTACAAAGTTAATGCCATTGGTTTTCTAACAGGAGAAAAGAGAATTTAAGAGAAAAAAGGATAAACTGTAGCAAAATGATAAAAACATTATTGTGAGGTGCAACAAAATGTGAAAGAACTTAAAAAAGAGTGAACTTCAGTTCACAGCAATTCATGAATGGAAAGCATAAAATCAGAGAAGAGTTGAAGCGCAAGTATCTACATTGTAACTTTGGAAGTAAAAACAAAGGAAATATGTTATTGGCTACGGTTATAAAATTTTCTTTTAGTTCCCTTGTGGGAAGGTCCCTGATCATATAATTATGCCTTACTTGAGCACTTTAGATTCGCTGGGCTTAAGTTTTATTTTGCCAACACTGGTATTTACAAAGAAAGACCCACTTTAAGTTGTAATTATGTGTACAACTTATGGCTATTTTCATGGTCTATCTGATTTCTTTCTTTTTCTTTTTTTTGGTTGAGGAACTTCTCAGGCCTGATCTCCATTTTAATTTTTATTTTGACAAGTGTAATGTGAATTAAGATGCTTAAAAAATATAAATATGTAAAATGATCTCTACAGGTAAAAAAAATTAAACAGACATAAAAAAGGCCTTTGATTATTGCACTTCTGCTTACATTTTAAGGAGTAAAATAGAATAATTCTCATTCATCAAACATGCATTAATATTTCTATCATTAAATTAGAATTTGGCTAGATTATTAAATCACAATTAATGTTTGAAATTCAAGCCTAACATTAACTCCAAAGCAGATACAATGTGTTAAAGAAATGAAGTATTTATGCTTTTATTTAAGCTCAATTTAGGGTGGTGATTATAAAAACAACTGTATGAAAAGAAAAATGGACACTTACTGTTTTTTGAGAGAGAGAATGTATGTTTTCTCCTCAATAGTGATACTATAGGTCACCTGCAGCAAAGTATTTAAAAGAGAAAATAGTCGTTAGAAATTTTAGATCCTTAAAAGTAAAAAGCTAAGATTTTTTTATATGTATATACTCTTTCATACACATGAATTATGTACTGCACACCTCAAAATTGAAGTTTATGACAGAATTATTCATAACTAAATTTAAATTCAATCAAAATCCTCTGAACTACCTATTTTAAAATATAGTATTAATTGTTGTCAACCATAATTCTGCTGCTGTGCTATAGAACATTGCTAGTTATTTTTCCTGTGCAGATACACTTGTGTGCCTGTTAAGCACAAAATAAAGAAAGAAAAAAACATGGATGAAATTGATGAACTATTTATTAACTCATATTTAATGTCATGTGGGAGCTTATCATCATTACTTATGAAATAAAAATGAAAAAAAGGAAAAAACTCCTAAGGATAGGGAAAAAATGAAGCTCTTTTGTAAATAATATGTATGTAATGCATAAAAAGTCAAAAGAAACAGAAACCTATTACTATTATTAACTATTTAAAATTCTTATTTGCAGTATTGATATATACAGTTACATACACAAATATATGGTTTATTTCTATACAATGAGAAACAATTATAAAATAAACTTTAAAAATACCATTTTACATAGTGTGAGTAAACCTTAAACATATGCAGACTTGGGCTGGGATTGTGGCTCAGTGGTAGAGCGCTTGCCTAGCATGTGTGAGGCGCTGGGTTTGATTCTCAGCACCACATATAAATAAATGAATAAAATAAAGGTTCATCAACATCTAAAAAAATTTTAAAGCATATATGCAGTCTACTTATAATTGAAAATACAAAACATGACAGAGAACAATAAAATTAGACAAATACATAGAAAAAAAATCACATTCATAAATTAACTTGATATTATTGAAATTTCATTTCACTCAAAAATTGACTTGTAGATTGAATATTATCTATTACAAAATCCCAGGAAGCTGTTTGTAAAATTTGGCAAGACAATGTACAAGATTTACATATTAAAAAATGAAACAGGCAAAATAATTAAAAAAAGCAAAAGCAGAAAAATACCAAATTTCAGAGACTTATGATGAAATGATGATAATTAAGGTAGTGTGCCATTTGTGTAAGAGCAACTATATGATTTGGAAAGAAGTGAAGATATTTTGAAATACATATCCTAAAAATATTTACCTGTGTACTCATTGATCCTATGTAGATGAACTACCAAAGCCTTATGAAACGATGTACATGTCAAAAGTTTTGTAAAATATGTGATATTACAACCATATAAAGACTCAGATGATCATTACAAATGTGTATGTCCATGTGTAAATATTCACATACTTTAAATTTACTATCTTTAAAATCAAAGTAAATATTCACTGTATTCACAATTGTTTGTGCTGTCTAGATTTAACTTTGCAATGTACATCCTTTTTAAATGATATAATGTCCTTTTTCTGAAGGTTTTATATATACATATGGATACCTATATAGCCATGAAGTTTTCTGGCTTTTGTTTTTTTATTTTATTTTGTATTCCAGTTTAAAATTGGTACAAGGTCAATGTTAGCATGATCTCATGTGCAAGACCATACATCATTAAATGTATATATTTTGTAAGAGTCCTGTAAATGGTACACTCCATTTTGTATTCCAAAAATTTTGGGCACTGTTTGTATTGTTTTGTTCTTCAGTTTCTGTTTTAAAATAATTACATATAATTCCTACATTACCTAAAAAAATTTTTAAAAAAATCAAACATTGTTCTCAAACTAAAACACTCCTTAGCATGGTAAATTAGAACACAAACAGAATTTCACAAAGGAATGTACATAAATTGATATGGGCCATAGTGCAGTAAAAATAAAGCACGGATAAATTTTATAAAATTGATTTCTTAATTACGTGTGTTTCTGTAACATCCTTACGGTTGGTGTTTTTGTCAAACTTCTCCGGCACTGTAATTTGCAGAAGTGATGATTTAGAGCCTGCGGCAAGAAAAAGCACAGGTCAACGTTCCCCAGTGGGGAGCAGAATCTTCAGTCTTCACTTGTCTACTTTCCCTTCATCACCTTTTAAACTCCCAAGCCCCAGCATTTGCACACACTCCAAGCTCCAAAACTACACCTTGCTGATCCCAGGTAGAAGATCCTGTGAGAGCAAGAGATTTGCTATCCAGAGACACTTTGGGGCCTGTTGACCTCAGCCCTGAACGGAAGACCCCATCCCAGGGTCCGGACCCCATGAAGACTCTCTCTTTCCCGCACCTCCACAGGAGATGCACCTCTTCTTATACAGGTCACATAAATGAGGGACAAGTATCCCGGGGTTTGCAGGGAGCCTTCTCACCACCAGGGCTCAGGGGCCTTCAAGGATCAGAGCCTTGAAACAGGTTTGGCTCTGCTGCATCCTTCACCAGTCTGAGCTTTCTGGAGCGAGGAGGCTGAAGCTCATCTTGCTAAAGGTCTCTGCTAAAGGCTGCCCTCAGATCCAGTTGGGCCCTTTACTTACTCTGGCCGCCAGAGGTCGGCCACGCCAGGCCTGAGAGGATTATCAGGAGAGACAGCATTGTGTGGTTAACCGGCCTGGCCACAGTGATGGCGGTTGTAATGCAACGCCTGGGTCTCGTGGCCACCAACTGCGGGGCTCTTGCAGGGCGGGGTCAAAGGAATTCCCGGGGAGCCAGACAGTAGTAAAGATTGGAGGGCGTGGTTGGTCTGTCCAGGCCCAAGGCAGCTCTGTGGATTGCAGAATCCAGCCTTCTACAGCCCCAAAGGTGCCCCTTCACATCTCCCCTGTACTTGCTAAAGCACGTTAAGGCCTGCACTTCTGTGCACTGGTGCCTTTTCCCAAAAGCTTGACATTTACAGTGTATTGCGGTGTAACGTAAAGGTTTTATAAACCATGTTTTCTCCTTTAGATATTTGATAGGGAAGTTTTTGGTAGTGTTTGTATTCCATATCAAAGCTTTGTGGGCCAATGGGTAAACTATTGTATTAAAGGAAAATACAAACCTCAAAAAATTCACAATATGTTTTGTAGCAGACAATTGCTTATTATAACTATATCTACTACTGAATTTCTACTTCTTAAATCTCAGGTAAAAAAAAAAAAAAAATAGACCCAAATGTCTGGCATGGTGGTACATGTGTGTAATCCCAGGAGTCTGGAGGCTGAGGCAGGAGGATTGTTGAGTTCAAAGCCAATCTCAGCAAAAGCAAGGTGCTAAGCAACTCAGTGAGACTCTGTCTCTAAATAAAATACAAAATAGGTCTGGGGATGTGGCTCAGTGGTTGAGTTCAATCCCCACTAACAAAAATAACAGCCCCCCCCCCAAAAAAAAAAAAAAAACTAATTATTGTGTTATAGTTAAGATGGATTCTAAGAAAACTTGGAAGTTTAAACAAAGTTCTATATATGAATGTATGTACAGTTCTCCTTTGGTATATGTAGGGAATTGTTTTTAGGATCCTCAGTGGATACCAAATCTGTGAATGTTCAAGTCCCTTAAATAAAATAAAATATAACCTGCAAACATCTCCCTATATACTTAAAATCATCTCTGGATTATTCATAATACCTGATACATTGTAAATGTTGTGTAAATTGTTGTTATGCTATCATGTTTACAGAATAATGACAGGAAAAAACCACCTGATTTTGTTAAGAATATATATATTTAATATTGTAGCTCCATGATTGATTTAATCTACATATATGGAAACTGCAGAAACAGAGGACCTACTACCTTTGTTTTATTATCTTCATTGACTTATAAGCAAAAATTATAACTAAACAATGACCCTGTAAAAACAATTAAAAATCTGCTTGTTCACTTTTGTACAGTTTTGTTTCTTAGAAAAACCTATGGCTTAAAGACATTAAATAAATAGCCAAAATAAAACTTTTTCTCTATAAATACAGAGCTTACAAATGGAAAGATAGCAGAGTTAACATGGAGAGAACTTTCCTTTTATGGATTAATATTACAGTCGATTGAATTGTTAAACCACAACACAAAGAAAAGACCACCAACTCCAATTTTAAATCAGATTAAAGCAAGCTTGTATTTATGTACACTGAAACTGGCCAGGACTGTCTCTCCCAAAAACCCTGGGTTAGAGAACAGTACCCTAACTCTCTAGGAGCATATTTTTATAAAACAAAAAGTTGCAAAGGGAGGTGTCTTGAGAACTTACAGATAACAGGATTTTGACAAGCATAATACAAAGGCAGATATAGTAGATTAATGATCTACATGGCTTAACATTTCAGGTAGGGAATAAATTTAGATCCCAACATCAGAATTTATGAGGCACTATTGAGGTTTTAGAGAGGGTTGTTATCTGGTCAGGGAAAGCTAGGCATGGGCGAGTTCAAGTCATGGGCAGGAATTCCAAACAAGTTTAGAAATTGTAGTAATTTATAGTAAAACAGAAATTAACTTTTCATGACTTTGTGACGAGACGGCTCCCAATCTTAAGATGGAATTAGGCTGGGTTCATCAGAATAATTTCAATTTTTTACAATTTTTAAATTTGTCTACAGTAACACTCTATAGCAAAACATAAAATTGACCACCTTGACCATATTTGAGTGTACATTTCGGAGGAATTAAATACACTCACATTGTTGTGAAACCATCCATCTCCAAAACTCTTTTCATCTTATAAAACTGAAACTCAAACAATAACTCCTCATCTTCCCATTTTTCCCCAAGCCTGGCAACGAATTTTCTGTCTCTGAATTTGAGTACTGTAGGGAACCTAACAATTAGGAATCAGACCATATTTTTTATCATGTGACTGGCTAATTTTATTTAGTATAATGTCCTCAAGTTTCCTCCATGTGATGAACCCAGCCTAATTATATCTTAAGATTGGGAGTCATCTTTGGGTCATAAAGTCATGAGAAGTTAATTTCTGTTTTACTATAAAGTACTGCAATTTCTAAACTTGCTTGGAAAGCCTGCCTATGCCTTGAACTCACCCATGCCTGGCTTTCCCTGACAAACCTCTCTGAAAACTTAGTGGTGCCTCATAAATTCTAGTTTTCCTTGACCAGATAACAGCCCTCTCTGAAACCTTAGCAGCCCCTCATAAATTCTGGTGTTGGGTTCTAAATTTACTCCCTAACTTGAAATGTTGAACATTTAGATCATTAATCTATTATCTGCATTTGTATTATGCTTGTTCTCAAGACAGCTCCCTTTTACAACTTTTTGTGCTATAAAACTATGCTCCTAGAGAGCTGGGGTACTGTTCTCTAACCCAAGGATTTTGGGAGAGACAGTCCCGGCTGGAAATACAAGCTTGCTTGAATTCGATTTAAAATTGGAGTCCGTGGTCTTTTATTTGAGTTGTGGTTTAACACATGTTGTACCACTTGTCAAAAATTCTTCTGTTTTAAGGCTATTAAAAAATTGCATGTATGCATGTTTTATCACTTAGCCATAGGTAGATATTTGGTTTGCTTCCATCACTTAGCTATTGTAAATACTATTTTTGTGAACAACTATGAACAAATATTTGAGACTCTGCCTTCAATTCTTTCAGCTATATGCCCTGAATATTATCAGAGTAAAAATGCAACCCATAGAATGGGAGATGATAATTTCAAATAATAGATAAGGGATTTAGATCCAAAATATGTAGGATATTCTAAAAACTCAACAAGAAAGTACAAATAATGTGATTCAAAAATAGCTAAAGGATTTGAATGAAAATTTCTGTAAAGAAGATATATGTGCAAATAGCCCATAAGCATTGGAAAATTGCTCAGCATTACTAATCTTTAGGGAAATGCAAGCCAAAACCATAATAAGTATCTTATATTCATATTCATTAGGATAACTCCTATAAAAAAAAAACAAAAAAGACAGGGCAAGATCAGGCTACTCAAAGATGGGATATAATCAGAATCTGGTCACATCTTCTCTGACACTCTTGTTTCTCACAGGCCTTGCAGAGAGCTGGAGCATTGTATTTAATTAAATTAAATTACAGAGCTCACTAACTAATTCACCTTCTTCTAGTTACTCTTGAGAATCCTCCCCAAATTCCTGTTCAGGTTCCCTTCCCTTATCACTCTGAATCTCTCCATCTAATTCAGCTGGTTCTGACTCAGTTGCTTCTAGCTCATCTCGATCCTCCATCTCAGGCATGCTCTCTGCAGACAAAGAGACTGGGGAAGGCCGGCTGAGGGGGCTTATAACCTTTGATAGCATTCTTAAAACATGCTGACCATGTTATACTCTCTTGATCTGAATCTAAACAAGTTTTATTAAGTCCACATATTCTCTGAGATAATCGATCATGCACCTGAATATTTTGGCTGAGTTATATCCAGTGCATAATTCTCTGCCAACCTTTTCCCAAAAAATGCAAATTAAAGGAACTCTCTTTGGGAAACAATGGGCAAATCTTCAGTACCACTTTTAAAAATTGTGCCAGCTGAGCATTGTTTACTGGATTTCCTCTTTGTCTTAGCATAGTTTTAAGTATTGTGAGAAAATATTCACTCTCTTTAGAATTAGTTTCCCATGTTTAACAGCAAGCTATTAAAAACTCCCTACTCCATCCTCTCTTTAAATTGACTAATGTGAGTGTCTCCTCATTTGAGGGGCAGCCAAGCTCACCTGAAACTTCTCTCTCTGAATACCTAGCCAGTGGTCTAGGTTCAGGCACCAGATCTTGCTCCATCATGCACAGTGAGTGAACAGTGAGTGAGAGGTTAATTGCTTGCAGGCTGTGAGCTGGCTAAGAAAATAAAGTTCAGAAGTAATAAAGAAAAAAGCATGAAAATAGTTTAAAAAGCAGGACTCTGTGGGTTGTTCAACCCAAGGGTCCAACCCCTAACAAAGAAGAAAAGCACATGTTCTTTATTATATATGAATATATATATATATATATATATTAAAAGGATTTATTGTAAAAGAAAACTTCTTTAAGGCAAACAAAAAGCCAAGTTGAGCAGGAACAAGCTAATTGGAGCTCACCTACTTGCATGATATCATCTCTAGGCTTGGTATAGCTGGCACCACAAGGCTATAGAGCACACCCATATATCTTCCACCCCAGAAGAGCAGGCATCTGAATTCAAAGCTATCTAATCCATAAATTCCACATCAGGCATGGACTCTACTCATTAAGAGCAGCTACCTGCAAATGGGCATGTCTTTCAGCATCATTGCACTGAAACATTCCCAGAAGCAGCAGACTCCAAGTCCAGGCTCTAGAGATCAAAACAGTAATTTATTTTCTGCTCTTGTTGCTTGACTACAGAACATTCTAAGCAAAATATCCAATGAAGATGGAGTGAAAAAAGAGTGGGGGGAACCAACAAAGAGAGGAACTACATAAAGTCAATCAAAAGAGAAACTAATACAAATTAAAACCAGAAACAAACAATTACTGGGAATACAGATCATACCTCAATAATAATCTTGAATGTTAATGGCCTGAACTCAATAACCAAAAGACATAGAATGATAGATTAGATCAAAAAACAAGACCAAACAATATGCTGTCTCCAAGAGACTCACCTCATAGGCAAAGAGACTGGAGATGAAGATGAAGGATGTGAAAAAAAAAGTATCACTCACATGGATGACAGAAACAAGCAGGGGTTTCTATCCTCATATCAGATAAAGTGGACTTCAAGCCAAAATTAATTAGAAGGTACATTTCATAGTGGTTAGGGGAATTATACATCACAAGACATAACAATCATAAATATTTATGCCCCAAACAATGGAACACCTACATACATTAAACAAACCCTTCTCAACTTCAAGAAGCAAATAGACCACACCACAATAATACTGGGTGACTTTAACACACCTTTCTCACCACTGGATATATCCTCCAAGCAAAAAAGAAACTATAGAATTAAATAATACAATCAATAATTTAGACTTAACAGATATATAGAGAGTATTTAATCCAGCAATGAGTGAATACACTTTCCTCTCGGCAGCACATGGCTCCTTCTCTAAAATAGACCATATATTAGGTCACAAACCAACTCTTAGCAAATAAAAAAAATAGAAATAACACCTTGAATTCTATCAGATTATAATAGAATAAAACTATAAAATCAATAATAAATAAAAAAATAGAAGCTACTCTAAAACCTGGAGACTAAATAATATGCTATTGAAGGATCAGTGGAGAGTAGAAAAAAATCAGGGAGGAAATAAAAAAATACTTAAAAGTAAATGAGAATAGTGACACAACATATCAATATCTGAGACACTGTGAAGGTAGTGCTAAGAGGAAAGTTCATTGTATTGAGCTCATTAATTAAGAGAATAGAAAGTCAACAAATAAATTACCTAATGTTACATCACAAAAGCCTAGAAAAAGAAGAACAAATCAGCATCAAAATCAGTAGAGGACAGAAAATAATGAAAAATCAGAGCTAAAATCAATGAAATTAAAACAATTCAAAACTTGACAAACAAAAAGTTGGTTCTTTGAAAAAGTAAATAAAATTTATAAATCCTTAGCCATACTAATAAAGAGAAAATACAAATTACTAAAAATTGTGATGAAAAAGGAAATATCATGAACACTACCAAAATACAGAAGATAATCAGAAACTATTTCATAAATTTATACTCTAATAAAATGGAAAATTATGAAGACATCTAAAAATTTCTCAAGACATATGACCTAACCAAAGTGAATCAGGAGGACATACACAATTTAAACAGATCAACTTCAAGCAAATAAATAGAAGAGGTCATCAAATGCCTACTAACGAAGAAAAGCCCAGGACCAGATGGATTCTCAACCGAGTTATACAAGACTTTCAAAGAAAAATTTGCACCAATACTCCTCAAATAATTCTATGAAAGAGAGAAGGAGGGAAACCTTCCAACTCACTCTATGAGGTTAGTAGCAACCTGATACCAAAACCAGACAAAAACACACCAAGGAAAGAAAATTCAGACCAATATCCCTGATGAACAAAGATGAAATTATTCTCAATAAAATTCTGGCAAGTTATATACAATAACACATTAAAAACAGAGTGCACCATGATCAGGTGGGGTTCATCCCAGGAATTCGAGGTTAATTTAACATATGGAAATCAATACATGTAATTTATCATATCAATAGATATTGGGAGGCAGTTCTTCTACTCTAAAAGGACTTATTATAAGTCCTGGGGTAATTGATCCCGATTATGAAGGTGAAATAAAAATTATAGCCAGTTCTCCAAAGGGCATATCAGTAAATTCACCAGGAACTATACAGCCATATGTATTGGATCATCTTCCCGTAAATTTATGGGGACGAGATGTCCTAGATCAATTAGGACTAGCATTAACAAATAACATCAATTCAAATGTGTCCACTATTATGGCTAGACAAGGTTTTAGGAAAGGGAAAAGATTAGGAGAACAAGAACAAGGTATAGCAGCACCAATACAAATAGATCAAGGAACAGACAGACATGGATTGGATTTTCAGGAGGGGTCTCTGAGACAATAAAAATTACTTGGAAATCAGAAAGACCAGTATGGGTTCCTCAGTGGCCCCTGACTAAAGAAAAGATACAAGCAGCCCATGACCTGGTCAAACAACAATTAGTGGAGGGACATATACAACCTTCTGTATCTCACCATAATACTCCCATTTTTGTCATCAAAAAGAAATCTGGTAAATGGAGATTATTGCAAGATTTAAGAGCCATTAATAATGAGATGATTATTATGGGACCTGCTCAATTGGGGATTCCCCAATTGTCTGCTTTGCCAAAAACCTGGTGTGTTTTACTTATAGATATTAAAGATTTTTTTTTCACTTCCAATTCATCCTGAGGATAGTCCACGTTTTGCAGTTACTATCCCTGCACTGAATCACGAAGGTCCTGATCAGAGATATGAATGGAAAGTACTCCCTCAAGGGATGGCTAACAGCCCAACTATGTGTCAAATTTATGTTAACAAAGTAATCCAGCCACTTAGAAATCAAAATCCTGGACTACATATATTTCACTATATGGATGATGTATTATTAGCACACAAAGATAAAAACACATTGCTAGAATGTTATGCCATACTTACAAACTTATTTAAAAATTATAATCTAGAGATAGCAATAGATAAAGTACAATTAAATATTCCAATTAATTATTTAAGAGTTCTATTATCCTCAACCATGGTCCATCCACCAAAAATTCAAATACAAGTAGATCAACTCAAATCACTTAACGACTTTCAAAAGTTATTAGGAGACATAAATTGGATAAGGCTTTATCTAGGCATAGCAACAGGAGAGTTGGGACATTTATTTGATGTCCTAAAAGGTCCATCAGATCCAAATTCACCCCGAATGTTAACACCTGAAGCAAGAAAGGCATTAAAAATCATTGAAACATATATGGAAAATATAAATTTGGATAGAATTGATATAAGTTTGCCTTTGTTATTTATTGTACTACCAACAAAAAATATTCCTACAGGAGTATTTTGGCAAGAAGGTCCATTATTATGGATACATTTATCTTATTCTCCTAACACTATTCTTACTAGGTATCCTGAGGCTGTAGGACAATTAATACTCAAAGGAATAAAAACAGCAAAGGGAGTGTTTGGAATTTCTCCCAATAAAATTATTACTCCATATACTATGGATCAAATTGATGAGTTAGCTAATGAGTTAAATACTTGGGCAATAATCATGTGCAAATCTAATGTTTCATTTGATAACCACTTACCATCTAATCCTTTATTGTCTTTTTGGTCATCGCATCCTGTAATTTTTCCAAAAATGACAAGAAAAACACCTATCATGAATGCTCCAAATATATTCACTGATGGGTCAAATAATGGTACAGCAGCAATAGTTACACCTGATCAAACTTTTATATTTTTAGTACCCAAACAATCAGCTCAAAATGTAGAGCTTAATGCAGTATTATAAGCTTTTGTGATGTTTAAAGATTCTGTATTTTATTTATTTTCCGATAGTCAGTATATAGTTAATGCTATAGTATCCCTTGAAGATGCTGGTAGGATTTCCCCTTCCTCTACTGTTTTCTCTTTGCTTTCCACTATACAAAGTCTAATCTGGGACAGAAAAGATCCGTTCTTTATAGGACATATCAGGGCACATACAGGATTGCCTGGAGCCCTTATTTTGGGGAATGATT